ACTCATTCTATTACACACTGTATATTATATAATTGATATATAATTTGAAAAATGATAGTTTTTGTATGCTATCCCCATCCTAAGATCATACCGGTGCCCTTTGATACATATGGTAATAATATTATATTAAATACAACCTACAATTATCTTACTCTTGATACTCTGCATTCGTTTCATTCTCTCAAAATGTAGTTTTTTTAAGGTTTCACTTCTAACACGTTTGATCTGCACATATGATATTTTTTTTCTTTAAGGCAACAATATGGAAAAATCATCGAAAATTGTTAAATCCAATATTCAAAGAAAAATTTCTTTCTAACCATATGGGCAAGATAATAAAACATTCAAACAGATTGGCACAAATTCTAGAAATTTCGAATGAAAAAGAAATAGACATCTCTTATTACATAAATCTTGTTACTTTGGATACGATATATGGTAATATTTTGAAATATTTAAGGTATAGAAAATATATATAATTACAAGAAAATAAAAGAATTTCTTTTACTATAAGTAAATTTTTTAATATTTGTTTTCTTCTTGTATTGACAGATACAGTTTTAGACCGGGATTTTAATTTCCAAAATAATTCAGAATGTGGACTTTGTGACAATATTTTAGTGTAATAATGATAAGAATAAATTTCAATTTGTAATAGTATTCAATTTTATAATATAACATTTTCTTTTCTTTCTGATTTTTATTTTTATTCAGTATAATAGACATAGCGACCCAAAGGATTTAAAAATTTTGGTTGCATCCAGATATCATTTTCTACAATCAATCTGTAGGAAAAAGATTTCGAGAAGCTTTATCACACTTGGATAAAATCACCTCAGAGGTATAAAAAAAAAAAGGAAAATTGTTTATCTGAACAATTTCATTTTAAACACAATATTCTGTTTCAACATTAAAATACATATATAAATTTCACTATATTATAACTTTTATAAATATGCATACATATATAGAACTTTTTTGTCAAGATAATAAAGGAACACGGTGCACAGTATTACCGAAATAAAATGCTGCACGTGGCGCCCACCTTTTGAGGTTATGTAGCTGCTTATAATACGCACGAGTAAACGAGACGCACGCACGCACCACTCAAGAATAGTCCGGGAGCTAGCAACGTTTTCGAGAGAGAATTGTGGGTAAACTGATTTTTTGATATGTCGTTCTTCTTGATCTTTCGGTTAGAGCTTGCACTACTTGGCTGGCCGTAGGTCTTGCGTGTACTAGTGCGCATCCTACCTGTACAGGTAATAATCCTAGATTTTAAAAGAATGTTGAGAAGCCTAATTTTCTATTTATTGACTTTAGATAGATTTATCAAACATAAATTTTTTATTGCCATGCACTTTTCTCATTGCTAAATATCTGCCATATGCGATTTTTTTTAAATAAAAAATTAAAAGTATCTTGGTATGCATGTAATTTTAATAGGATATCGTTTTATAGGATACCTTATTGTAGGAGGGTTCCCGCAATTATGAATCGTGTTATAGCGAAACAGTGTCATGAGATATCGTGTTGTTGGAGGATTTACCGCAATTTGTGAATCGTGTTATAGCGAAATCGTGTCATGAGATACCGTGTTGTTGGAGGGATACCTGTATATTAGTGTCAGAATTTTTGGACGGTTCAACCCAAAATTTCCATGAAAACCGTGTCCTCATATGCGACTTACTTTATCGGGCCACTACTGTTTACAACGTCATAGAATCTGCGAACCGAGATTCGAACGAATTAGGCATGTTGTACCGTTTTTTTTTTTTTTTTAATATTTTTTTCATATTTGAAATTGGGAAATACATGACAATTGCATTTAGTATACTTTTATATATTGTTAACGGCCATACCATGATGAAAGCACTAGTTTTCGTCCCAGTCGCGTAGAAAGCGCCGTTCGGTTCGGTAAGCGTCCGCAAGTTCACGCCCTAATTTAGCAATTATCCCAAAGTAAATTAAGAATAACTTACTAAAATCACGTATGTGATAGATATTGATCGGAAATTCTTAAATTGTGACAAATTCTTGACATAGAAAAAGTATTTGATAAGGTTTGGCAATATGCTGTATTATAAAAATGATTAAATACAAGTATCCAGACGTCCTTATTAAATTCATACACTTCTATCTTAAAGACAGACACCTAATAGTAACAGTGGAAGGCGAAAAATCTACCAAACGTAAAGTCAGAGCAGGCGTACCATAAGGATCAGTTTTTGGTCCGAAGCTTTTCACCATCCATGTAAATGACATGCCAAAATTTGAAAAAAACTAATACTGCTTTATTCGTCGACGATCTAGCCATATACTCACACTCTTTCTCAGCACTAATAGCAGCGAAACAATTGCAAATACATATCTCCTTATTAGAAAAATACTACAGCAACTGGAAAATAAAAGTAAATGAAACCAAAACAGAAGTAATTGAAATTAGTAAAAAATACAATGACATAAAACTCTTTCAGTCAATCACAGTATATGGCCATCCAGTTGTACCCGAACTCTCAGTGAAATATTTAGGAGTCCACATCGATTGTAAACTAACATATCATATGCATATAAAACAAATCATAACGAAAACATATGCAGTAATTAAAAAATTATATCCATTGTTAGTAATAAACTCACCACTATCGTCTTCAAACAAGAAACTCATATATAAAACAATACTAAGGCCTATAATTACATATGCTGCACCTGTCTGGTGCAATGCAATTTGGTAAATTACCAATTTATATACCACAACTAATAATTGTAACTCTAACCAAAGCATAAACTTGATAATATTATATAAGAACTGTAGATTAAACTCTTAGATTAGAGTAGGTGCTACAATCTAAAAGTAAAACTGTTAAGTGCCTTTATATATTTGTAAAAATGTATTCATGTACACACTATTGTTATTATTTTTAAATAAAAAGTTATAAAAAAAAAGTTCTCGTCCGATCACTAAAGTTAAGCAGCACTGGGCACGGTTAGTATTTGGATGGGTGACCGCTTGGGAACACCGTGTGCTGTTAACACTTTTTTTTAACAGGTTGAATGCCACGGGGGTCACCGATGACCGGCACTTAACTTGGCTATGAAGCCATGGAGGCCACCGGTGATCGGCGTGCCCAGATTAATAGAAAAATATTCCACATCGTGGCGTCACGGACAATCCCAGTAAAATTGCCGTGGCATTCAACCTGTTAATAATTTCTATGATATTCCTTATGTATATTTAACACGTTCAGTGCGTATACGCCCCACGTTGAACTTTTCGTTCAAGTCGCTTGAAATTTTCATTGAAAAACGAAGAATTTCTTTTTAATTTATTGTAAAGTCAAATATAGACAAAAAAAATATAATTATGAAAAACTAAACATTGTAGTCTATTATAACAAAGTAAAATTCTATGTAATATGTTTTCGATCTAATGTCGTCCTACTGTACTTCTTTACCTAAAGCTTTATGTAAGATCAATTTTTAAAGTAAAACTGTTTAAAGTGACATTAAAAAGAGACAAACATATACATCTATAGAATTTAACTGCCGAGAAAATGAGATAGAATACAGTATACAGTACTAACAATATTATAAAAAATAAACCCAACAATTATATTCTACTTTTTATACTCTGCATTTGTCATATCTCTCGAAATTTAGTTTTCTGAAGGTTTCACTTCTACCGCGTGTGAATTGCACACATGTTTTTGTTCTGCTTTTTTTTATTTTTTTTTTTTGCTTTTCAGTTCACAAAGTTGATTCCCCTTCCTCCTTCCAAGGTCACTTCGTTCAATTACTGACTCACAAATTAGCGCTGTAAACGATGATATAAGCCAAATTTGACCCATACATCCAAAAAGGTTCGCCATCCTGGCCTAGAATCTTCTAAATTCCAAATTCTTTTACATAGTCAAAACGTTAAAACGATCAGTTAACGACTATCACACATAATTGTATTTTAGGTGCCCCGAATGTTATATCGTATGAAAATCTGAAAAAAATTGAAATAATTAAATTGAAATACAACTCTATCTATTGAATACTTACAAAACCTAGAGATCTAGATAATCTATAAATATAATAAATCCTTAAATTAGCAATAAACAATAAGAAATAATCGCGGTAAAATTTATCCTATATTTTAAATTGGAAGAAATCACATAAAATAACAAATTTCATTAAAATTTGTTGAGTAGTTTCGGAGTTATAAGTAGACAAACATATGACACTGAATTTCTATATACAGTGGTGGCCATATACTTACGTACACTTCACATTTTACCTTTTAAACTTTCTTATATTTTTTTCATACTTATCTAGCTGATTCAATGTTTTATTTTAAGAAGTTTCGATCGTTAAGCATCTACCAACAAAATGTATATAGATAAATGATATACATGTATGTATATGTAACAAATTGATACGTCAAATACATATGACATGCAGTAACGAATAGTTTGATCATCGATTGCGAATGAAGATATCAAATTATCAAGGAACAAAAGAATGACGCGAAACGTCAAGCAACGTACTCTCGTCAAGTGTCAATATAACCAACATTTTTTTGTATACGATCGGGATAATATCGTCAGAGAGAAAAGAGATTAGACTGATGAACAGGATTGTTAGTGATGTCCTGTCTGAACGGCGTTCACGCCCAGATAACAACGTTTTTTTCCGTACCCCATGAGATTCTCTTATTACAACATAGGGTTTTTCGTGAATATGCCAAAGTAGCGGTTGGTCCGGATTTTATTCATACCTTGCCGTCTTTTTTGATCTTGGCAGCAATCACACTAGTCCTTTGGAAACATCCACCAAATTCCAAGTGGTTATTTCAAACTACGAGCGGATTTCCGTGGATCTATACAACTTTTCAGGTAATAAGAAAACTCGTTAATATTTTTCTGCTAATTAATCTGAATAAATTATTCGTATTATGATCATTTTTGTTAGTAAACTTCAATAAACTTTTAAGATCGTTACTGCTTGGGCAACAATTGACATGATTGTTTGGACTTGGTTGATTTTCCAAAGAATAATTTATTGCATAGTTTGGATTTATTGGAATAATGTAAGTATTATAAAGGAAAAAGTTACGAATTATTTAACCTTTTTGTTGTTAATGATGTGATTATAATCACTTAACTATCTATTACTACATATTATATTTATATTATTAAATCATATTTTTTCATGAAAATTTTTACTTTTTATTTGTTGTTTATTAGTTTGCTAAAGCTTTGATGAAGAGTTGATAATTTATGTTGTAACGTTAGGAATTAAAAGTTTCTTTTTCCACGCTTTGAAATTAACTACGTTCGTCTAGGGATTCCCTTGTAGTCGTAGCGAAAAGGTTATATAAGCTAACACAGATATTATTTATTTTTTCTAAGTCAGCACTAATTATGCAGGAAACTGAATATCGTGACGCAATTTATCCTTGGTGGCAACGAGTTTGGTCATTGTATTATCCACCACCAATGCAACCACCGGTTCTCTCTGCCGGCCTCATTAGCTGGATCATTTCAATGTTCTTATCAGTTTTGGGGTTAGGTTGTGCCATTTCTACGAGTCGTGTCAAGGAAATTTGTAATGATTTTTCAATCGTTCTACAAGATTCGTTTATTATGGTAAAAAATTATATCGAACATCTGATGAAAAGGTTAGTATTTATGACAATACATTTATTTTTCAAGTTTAAATCCATTTTATTTTTTCTGATCCTCTGAAACCGAATTCTTTTTAGGTTTAGAATAATCATTGTTTTAGGCTTTTTTTTTAATGTAAAATATGTTGTTATTGCAAAAAAAAATGTTAAACCTTATAGCTACAGCGAGACTGGAGCGTGCATATAAATGAAAATAGTATGCGGAAAAAATATGTATAATATAATAACATTTTCATTTATTTATGCAATGCGTTTAATTTTTAAAACGATGAAAATAAGTGAGATAAGTTCAAAAATACGACATGGTTGAGTCATTATAGTAGAGCTTCGTCTAACAAAATTACTTTAAGGGAAGTCACTGTAGTTAATGTAATAAAATTGATCTTGAAATAATCTTAACACTTTCCATTAATTAAGAAACATAATAAATATTAAATAAATAACAAATAATAAATAACATCTCATAATATTTTATCATTAAAAATTAAATAATAATAATCTGAACAATTCTTTTCAAAAAACCTAATTGAGATAAACATTTAGGATGCTACATTTTTAACACCCCTTATGAATAATAATATATCATTATTAGACTATATGAAATATAACACAGATTTAAAAAATACAGGTATACAATATCATTAATTGCAAGGAATATAATATTATTACAGATTTGTGTGAAAATGAAATGATATGAAAATAAAAGAAAAAATACTATAAAATAAATGAATAATAAGTATAATAAATACATAAAATAAGTAAATAAAATAAATATAGATACTTTAAATGGAATACAGGATAAAAAAAATACACACAATATAAATATATATAAGTATAAATTTAAGTGTATGATTTTAAAATTAGATGGGGTTGTAGAAAGTTAATTGAATGTATTGAAACAAAAACAAATTAAATACATCTTACTTCTTTTTAGTAATTAAAAATAATGAAGATAATATCTTTGAATTATCAGTGTATGAACTTTCGTTAATTAACATTATAATTTTTATCACAGGTTACGTGAGGTTGCATTATCCAGTGAAAGCGACAAATCGTCTTGTGATGGTGCTGACGAAAGTGATATTAGTTCCTTATGTGAAGATTTTCGTTCGGAAATATCGAGTGAGATCAAACAAACAAAACGTCAACAGGTATATCCGATTTGTTATGGAACAAATTGGGCACCCAAGCCGAATTTTATAAATTTTGGGAAAGAGGCACAGAGAAAAGCTTCGATGAAATCTGTGCATACTGTAACTGGTGCTACGGAAACTCAACGGGCAGAACAATTTTCTCCGAAATGTCACAAACGTGGCTGTCAAACAGCGATTCCGACCAATTCTAGTGACAAATCAAGCGGATATTAAAAATTTTATATATTTTTAAACGTGATTTTTTTTGTCATTTTAACAAAACATATAGAACGAAACATGATGATTCGATGATTATTTTTTTTTTGGATTCTCTGTTATTATTATTATTATTATTATTTATATTTTTATTCCATTCGCGGAAAAGAGATCCACATGGAAATGGATTTTTTGTGACTGATCGAATCATAATTTTGATAGATATAACTTTCGGGAAAAGTGAATTGAAATGTAGGTACTCTGTAAATGATTGATCAGGCATGCCAGCTTAAAAGTCGCTTACGCGCAACGTAAAAATTTAAAATTGCGTGATTAGTTTTTTAAACGAGTAATATGAAACGTCATAGAATTTATTTTTATTAAACATGATATAAGATCAGGTGAAAGTAATTTTTATTATATGAATAATTCCTTTTGTCTGTGATCCATTAAAATAAATTATCACTCTTTTATTATCCTCAAATAATCACCTCTAAAATATTCTATTGTCTGACCGTTTTTTTCTTATTTGAATATAAAAGGTTTTTAATGAATTTAATTTGATACCTCTGTTAATTTGTACGTAAAATTTGTAAAATTATAATTAAAAATTTGTGGTATACTTATTCGCACAAGCGTATATATAAAAATAAACACAAAGACGTAAAATGTTAATGTCACATTTTTTGTCATCCCCATTTTCTATCGACGAACAATAACAATAACAAAAAAATAAAAAAATGAAGATAAGTTGTACGATTACCCCCGTACACCTAGGATTTCCATGGCCCAATCACGAGAGAAAGTACACATTCTTATTGCGCATGCGTTTGTAGTATAAGGAGGGAGATAAACAGAAAGGGAAAGAGAGAAAGAGAGAGAGAGAGAGAGAAAATTTCTCCCCATTTTGCACCAAAGCATTATTCTGTAACGATATTCCTTGTGGGGTAGGTCGAACAAAATAACGTTCGGTAAATCCAGTTGAAAACATATTAAACAAATAAGAAAAAAAAAACCAAATATATATCATTGAACAATAATATAAATGATAATATAATTATTTTAACTCAACAGTTTTAAAAAAAAATTGTGTAAAAAACTAAATTCAACAATTTTTATTCTTGATATTTTCTGTTAATTCAAACGAAAAGAACTGTGTTTTTTTTTTTTTTTTAACTTTTTTCTTTCTCGATCGAATTATTTCCATTTAATTATTGACAGTGAAGAAAACTTGTGATATTTGTTTTTCATTATTTTCTCGTATAGTGACGCAGTTAGGTAAGAAGACAACGGAACGTTAAACGAAAAGAAAGAAAGAAAGACAAATTATTTGGTAAGTTTTATTATTGTTTAGAGAAGATAAAATAATATTTAGTAATGTTTTATCGATGATATTTATTTGCATGGATAATTTCATTTTTCGAGTGATATTAATGAATGAAGGAAATATAGAAAAAGTTTAGCATTGAAATTGCTGATGATGATTATTCTCTTGAGAATTTAAGTTAGTAGATTTATTTTTTTTTTTTTTACTACTAGGTACACATTCATGGTTAAATATCCGTCCACGTGTACGCGAGTAACGTGATACAAACCATGTTATTGATTTTACGTTGCGGTATCTAGCATGAGATTCGTATGCGCGCGCAAGCATGCACGATGGTCCATGGAAACGAATGGGATCGCGCGAAAACAATCTCACGTAGAGGAAAAACCACACACACACACACATAGATACATTCTTACATATGTATTTCCTGTTTATTTCGTTCGTAGTAATATTTCATACGAGAGTATGTGTGTTTTAGTAGAAGATCTTGTTGGTTACTGAATAGATTGACGGAACTTGCATGATCTATAGGTGTAATTGGTTTAATTGAAAGTAGGTTATATTTTTGTTGAGATTATATCTCATATGTGGAAAATATATATGCGTATATAAATACGTATACATGTAGAAAATAAAAATATAATGATCAAATTTTATCTAAATTGTTAAATAAACGAACAAGATTTTTCTTTTATCAGCTTACTGAAAAGTATAATTAATTAAATATTTAATAATAATAATATTGTTTCGCTTAAGATAATCAAATAAATATTTTTTCCTAGTGTGCGTGATACTATCTTGTTATTTCTTTTTGTTTACAATTTGTTATTTAATTTATTATTCGTTGAATTTTGAATTAACTTAATTTGATCAGGCGTGTAACTTCATTTAGGATCAATCATAGAAAATGTGAGAGTATATACGCGTAATTAGTATTTGTGTATAATCCGAACAGTATTGCGCATAAAATTTTTGAACACGTGCTCGTCTTATTATTCCCCTTTCTCGTTCCTTCTTTTTCAATATATATATAGACTCGTTTTATCCACTGTATTGTTGTCGAAGAACAATGAAAGAAACCGGTATATGCATGCGTGAGAAAATAATGAAAAACAAAAAAGGAACAGAATTTTTTTAAAAGAAATATAAAGTCGTCAAAAGATAAAAATTTATATAACATACTTGTTTTTAAATAATGCATAAATAACTTTGCCTAATGTCAAATTTAATTCATAGTATAAGTTAGATTAAATTATTATAAAATTATATTATTATTATATTTATTTATTTATATTATAATACAAAATTATATATTAAGAATTAAATCCAGTTTTAAAAATATTATTATAAGAAATTGTGTTTCTTATATGTTAAATGAAAAGACATTTAGTAAAATATTAACAAACTATATTATTGATGATAATACAGTAGTAATATTATCTGATAATCTTGATGTTTTAATAAAACCATCTATATTATTAATTTTTTTTGTATAACTATAAAAAATTGTATTTAATCAGTTAGTTTTTATTGACGAGTATACTCGTCAAGAAGGAAAAGTAGTTATCATATGCAATTTAAGTTGTAATTTTAATGCAAATTAGAATATATTTGTAAATTTCAAGATGTTTAAGACGAAATACAAACACGAAAATCATTATAAATAATTATTATGAAAATACTATATTTAACTGGAACAAAATAGAACAAATTCGGCCAAGCAATTCTATTCGTGAAATATTTTGCAGAATATATATGCCCAGCACATCTTCCAAAATTAATTCTATACGGAGATATTTACGTTTCTAAAAAAAATAATATTCAAAAAGAATCAATATATTGATGTTCCTACTCAATATTATTCAAAACAACATTCAAAAACAGCAGATTAAACTTTTAACTAATAATTTTTGTAAGTAATTGATTTTTGTTGTTTTTTTTTCATATGCAAATTATATGTTTAAATTAAGATATTCATCATTAGTTTTTTTTTTAGTAGCACAATTAAGATTACATACTTTTGAAAGAGGTTGTTTTAAAATTAACAAAAAATTAAAAAATATATTTTTTTTTAATATTTCATACTAGAGTTAATAATATTCATAAACAGTTTTATCAGTTTAAGAAAAGGTTATAAAAGCTTGTAAAGAAAAGGGTTTGATATTTGAAAGACTTACAATACTCACCAAGACGAGTCTAATTAACATGCATTTTAAAATCAACTTTTTCCGTGTAATTAAAATTTTACTATTGATGAGCATTCGATCGAGCCCTTCGATAGAAGCCCTTGAAATATCGAATCATTTTTTGTCACTCTGTATTGGACAATATGTGTACATCACATTGGAAGAAATATTTAATTACATAAGAAAAAGTATTGATATATGCTCTGACAATTGTGACAGTGAATTAAATAAAATAATTGAAAACGTTGATTTCGTAATTAAATTTGTATTAAAATTGATTATATTATAAATTAAATGATAAAATAAATTTTTTCAATTTTATAAAATAATAAATTATTGTAGGGTAAGAATGAAGTGCAGGGGTACTCAAACTTTTCCTTTCGAGGGCCACATATGTTAATTATTTTATTTAAAAAAGTATGTTTCTATGTTAAACTCTTTTTAACATACATAACAAAAGTAAATAAAACATACCAAAATTTTAACATATAAAATATAAGCTATGATTTGTTATCAAAAAATATATATCTAATCGCAATTTTTATCTACTTACTATTTCTATCTATTTTTTATCTATTTATTATTATTTATTTATTAAATAATATATATAAATCAAATTTTCCGTTATTTAATTTATAAAGGAATTTGATTGCCATTGTGGTATTTTAATATATTTTTTTTTAATATCAAAGGAAAAAAAACCAATCAATATAATATTTTAACATACATTCGTTTTTATATCAAACAGGCTCTATATTGGCGATGGTTACAGAAAAAAATTTCAAAATCGAAGATGAAAACGAAATAAAATGAATCAAAAAGAATAGATGTATTTAAACATTGATATGATTTTTGGTATTGTTTATAAGATCGATCAATCCTTATGACAAGGTTTTGTAGAGTGGAAATCAATTTTAGTTACTAAAAAAGAATTAAGTACAATTCATGACTGGGCCTTACGTGAAGCACTTGAAAACTTGTCGAGCCACAGATTGAGGTTGATGAATTGTGTATGAATGCGCTGGAATACAGATCTGATAGGTAGATTGTTCTCATACAAAGAGAGAAAATGATAGGTAAAGTGAGATAGCTTTTTGAGTGTATGAGTATGTGTTTGTGAGCGAACGATTATTAAACAAAACAGCGATCATCTATCTTATAGTTTGGTACTTGTCAACTTGAATTTATTGAATATGTGCACGTATGATCCGAGTGCATATTTCGTGAAGAGAGAAAAGAAAATGTATAAAATAAAATCAATTTTTTTTTAGTTTCAATAAATATTAAAATTAAATAAATAAATATATATATTAATATTAAAAATAATTAAATTAATTGTAATAAATGTATCGGTAATTACAATAGTGGACTACGTTAAAAAATTCAAAAATATTTAATTTTAGTAATTATTTTAAAATCTATATAATAGTGATATAAAATTAAATTAATTCTACATCAATAAATAAAATGTTTAAAATAATAAATTATATAATAGATAAAATTATCTACATAAAATAATGAATAAAATTAATTTTCTCTATTTCTTTTTTTTTAAATTCTTAATTAAGTAAAGTCAAATTAATTAAATTTTTTTACTTACAATTAGTCTATTGTTATAATTATTGGCGCAATTATCGTTATGTTATAGATTTTTAATTATTATCAAAACGATGAAGGAAAGTAAATAAATAATTTTGTTACATAAAGGTCACTTTGCGTATTTTTTTTTCTTCTATTAAATAATAATTTAGCAATTTATTGTCATAACTTCTTCTTAATAAAAGCTACCATCATATAATCAAGAATCGCATGCTATCAGAAAAAAGATTATCCAATAACACGATTCTTCGTAAAAGGGTAATTTATATAATCGCTCGCATCGTCATGTTTCTAGTCGATTATGCGACAGTAAGAGATATAGATCGTTAAAGGTCATGTAAATTCATTCATTATCCTTTTATAATTCTCAGAATTGTATTATTATAGGATTTATATTAAAAGTTGTGCTCCTGATTTAACTTTCAGGACTCACTGTTTCAAACAACTAAATTATTCAGATCATTAGTTTTGTCTGCTTAAATAAGAAGAATTAATGTGCTTGTCCTAGTATTACAAGTATTTGAATATAAAATAAACCATTTGAATAATCGGGATATTTGAAAAAAATTTGCAATAATTATAATAATTAAATAAACAAATATGAATTAGAATATATGGAATTACAATATATTGAAATATTGTAATGATTTATTGGTTTAATGGTTACGAAATTAACAAAGATGTATAACGGGCATTTCACAAGAAATCGGTCACTTTTTTAGATGACCCATTTTGAATCAGCAAAATATTTTATGCTATTGAACCCGGAAAAAGATATGAATTTTATAATTTTAGATATGAATTTTTTTTTAGAAAATTGAGGTTTTTCTTTGAATGCTTTTAATTTTTTGAAAAATTCGTTGTTTTTTCTAATTGTTCGTTTTTAAAAGATTTTATAAAAATAAAAAAGTTTACATAAGATGTTATAAAACCTAAAATTTAAAAAGAAATTTATATTTCAAAAAGAAATAGTCGAAAAAATTTGAAAAAAATCAAGACTACGTTTTCGATTGGGTCTAATAATATATACAATTTATTAATATAATTAATATACAATTTTTAGCTGAATCTATAAGGTTCATTTAAAATAATGGCATCATAAACAGATTTAAACAAAATTTATTTCTAATAAACAGAATGTCGTTTTTTTATTTCAGAAATAATGGCGGAAAAAATGTATTATTGGGATGAGGAAAAGAATCAACCTGATTCTGATCAGACCTTTATAGAATTCAAAGCTAAATCTACGGTAACGGAAAATAAAAAGAGAAAAGAGGAATCACGTGTTGCCGCGAAAACGTCGTCGTCCGCTATTCAAGGAAGGTCAACGGATTTTGCTAGCCGTGAGGAAGATGCAGAACGCGGTGGATGGGATAACAAACTAGATTTCCTCTTTTCGTGCATCAGCGTTTCCGTTGGCCTCGGAAATGTTTGGAGATTTCCTTACCTTTGCTATAAGAACGGTGGTGGTAAATTCAAATAAACTTTTATTGATTAATACATAACATAAAATTGTTTTTAAAGGCTTGTCGAACGGAGGAATATTATTTTCTTTTTCAATTTAATTTATATTAGGATATGATAATTAATAGATTTTTATATATAATTTGTTAAGTTTATAATAATTTAACAATTGAAGTTATGGTTAAAAACGACAAGTAAAAAATATAGTACGTAAAATGACAAATCTTAGCAGTTTGTAGAGAAATTTAAAAATACTTTATTTTACCCTTAAGTAAATAATATTTATTAAAGTAAAAAACGCAAATAAATTAATATTATTTGGGTGTGTACATTTTTTTTATATCACATTACATTTGTTGGCTCTTTATAAGTTTGACATATGAGATAAAAGATACTTAAGCTTTTTATTTATTAATGACCTAACATATTACCATTGATAAATCTTAAAAGATTAATCACTCTTATCTCAATCTATATTTAATGATTCGGGTTTACGTCTATTTAACAAAAAAAGTACATAGTTTCATTTTTCACAGGTGCATTTCTTATCACTTACGGTATAGCTATGCTGTTTTGTGGAATACCAATATTTTTTCAAGAAGTCGCCATTGGACAATATCTTGGAGCTGGTGGAATGACTCTTCTCAGTCAATTGTGTCCTTTATTACAAGGTAGATTATAAAAATCATGGTTTATAAGATCCTAATATATTTGATAAAAAATTATCATTGCATTTAATCTTTTGCAGGTGTAGGATATGCTACGATGACTATAGTTTTTTTTCTCGACATATATTATTGCATAATTATTTCCTGGACTCTCTTTTATCTTATAAGCACAATTGTTAATTTACCTGGTGTCCCTTGGAGTAGTTGTGGTAAATATATTTTTTAGATTATTGCATTATACTATATATACTATTATTGTAATATATAAATATATGTATATAGTATATCTGGAAATTGATGATACAAGCGAACAGGGATGATTCTACATGAAAAATTAAATTTGTTCATACAATACTTTGTTTTCGAAAAAAATAAGTTAGAAAATTTGTCAAGTACGCGTGCACTTGATTCGGTTTTTACTCGACAAATTTTATTATCTTTTATTTGTGATTTTTAATAAGTTCATAAACATTGTCAGTATGACGATTTTTCTTATATAAGTTTTACTCTAATGCTTACTGAACAAGGCTTTCAAATTTCAAGATTCCAAGCTCAGTTAAGTTCCCGCGTACTTGATAAATTTTTAAACTTATTTTTGTTGAAAACAAATACTTATATGAAAACATTTTATTTTATATTTTCAATTAAATTTTTCACGTAGAATAACCCTTCCTTCTTGCTTGTATTACCAATTATAGAACACTCAGTATACATAAGCAAAAACATATTTGTATATAATGATAAATAGAAAGTGAATTTGAAATTAAGTCATTTATATATTTTTGCAAAAAAAGTTTGAAATAGAAGTTGTTTGATTCGCGGACAAAATTTACAGCGTTATTTAACCTTAAAAAGAACTTTTGTATCAAACTTTCTTTTTAAATATGCGTTATTTTCGAGATATTTTTAGATGTACCAGTTTTCAAATTTCTCCCTGTAGATACGTAGAAAAATATACTCGTATAATTGTAAAATATTAATCATAGTTATAAATGAAATTTTCTTTTTTTGCTCTTAGGTCATTGGTGGAATACGGAAAATTGTTTTGACGCATCGACAGAAAGTAAAATAATTTCTGACGCAAACTATACCAAAAACATAACCTATCATCACACTACTCCTGTGGAAGAATTTTACGAGTAATTAATCAGTTTTTTTCATACTTATAAAAATTGTAAAAATATTATCACGATATTTATGTATTTTCAGACGACGAGTTCTTGGGGTTACATCTGGTATCGAAAATATCGGTGGAATGCAATGGGAACTTCTGGGTTGTTTGATACTCGGCTGGCTACTCGTTTACTTGATCATCCGACGTGGTCTTCATCAAAGTGGTAAGATCATCTGGTTTTCAGCGTTGTTCCCGTACGTGGTGCTTTTCATTCTTTTGGGAAGAGCGGTGACCTTGGATGGATCCTACAATGGTTTACTATATTACGTGACACCAAGATGGAAGGAATTGTTAAGTCCCGGGCCGTGGATCGATGGAACAACACAAATTTTCTTCGCTTACAGTATCGGAACTGGCGCCTTACCTGCTTTGGGATCTTACAATAGATTTCGTCACAATTGTTATAGGTAAAACAATATTTAACTTAGTTATGTTGTTTCACTCAGAAACAAATATTTCTTTCTTCGCTTTGTAACTTTAAAGTTAACCACGTGATTCAAATTGCCTGTTCATTTTTAACATGTTGACTGCAGTGTAAATTTTTAAATAATACCACTGTTTTTGTAAGGGTTTGAAAAAAGTAAAGACATACAAATGTCATTATTTGTATGTCATTGATATGCAAAAATAATTTTATTGATACAAAGAAAATTTGCATGACGTGTAACGACATTTTTTCTGTACTTAATTGCTTGATAAAATCTTCATCATCAGAACATTTTACTGAATATATCTCTAACTTAATCCTAAAATCGAAAATTAAAATATTTTTCTAGTTACTTGTATGTATAACGCCATTTAATTTACAGTACCAATAATCAGTAATAATTCAATATCCAATTTCCTGTACTACAAAAAGTAGTACAGAAAGCATTTGTCATTTGATCAAACAAATCAACTGCAAATTACCTTATTTAAAACAACTGATAATCACAAAAATGGTCTACAGCGCCTCGGGGGTCACAAGTAAACCCCCTACCCTCTCCATACATATAATACATCAAACACAATTATCTGCTGTAAAAAAAAATTTCAACAAAATATGCATCCCATAATACAAAATTTATATAAGCACTACAAAAAAATCATGTGAAATGTGCGCAGCAGTCAACGTGTTAATTTAAACTTACAATTAGTTTGACATACTTTTTCTCCGTTTTTCCGTTAACCTTAAACATATGAACTCTTAACTTTTACATTCAACACTCAACGCTTGTCTACGCTTTCATTGATTAACTCGATCACAAAGGATTCTTTTTCTTAAGGGGTTAGGCTACTCTAGAGGACCGACAAGATAGGCTTTTTTAAAAATTTTTTTCAGAAAAAATATAAAATAAATCGAGTTTACAAAGGTAGAAATTTATCGTACATATGAGATTGACCGTAAAACAATTTTTATAGAATAATTTATTTACTGTTCAGCGAGTCTCAGATGACCTTTCTATTTTGGAAGGGTCCACAGCCATACCAACTGCTACTATAAATTTTGAATTATGATAAGTCACTAAATTTCTTTTTATTATACATAATAACAGCTAGAGAAGTATTAAGGATTTTTAAAATATATTGATTTTAGGCCGATTAACGCACTTTCAAAGTCAAATTTGCAAAATTAGCAGAAAATATCGTCACAAAATTGTTAATAACAAATGAACTATGCCATATATAAAAATAAAATCCTATGCACTTATTTAGACAATGTATTTTAAAAGATCTAATTAGAAATTTGAAGTGAATTGGTTGAAAATAGTTCAAATTATGGGGGCAGGCCAACTTGAAAAATACAGTTTTGAGATAAACGTATTTAAAGTTTTAAAGTTATAGAAAGTCATGATATACTTTGAAAAACTATACTTTGAAAAACAAGTACTTAGAGATAATATGTTCAAGCCTATATTTTTTGGGATATCATTTTTGAGGTCCTAAGGGGTCAGTAATTAAAACGATACAAAAAAAATCCTACAACTCTAGAAAACCCTAACCCCTTAAATAAATAAAAAGAAATGCAAAATTTATGCAGGCTCGATCAATAAGCAAAGTAACCTTTTCCGTTGAAATCTTTGAAATAGTAAGTTTTATCTTCCAGAGATGCACTAATTACTTGTGTAGTCAACACACTAACTTGTCTTCTGGCCGGGTGTTTGACATTTTCGATATTGGGTCACATCGCTTTGGAACAAGGTACTGAGGTCTCTGAGGTCGTCAAGAGTGGACCTGGTCTTGTGTTCCTCACCTATCCTGAAGTCGTTCTAAAGCTTCCTGGTGCTTCGATTTGGGCTATTATATTCTTCGTCATGCTTCTCGTAAGAAAATTATTGTTCCAGTGAGAGACTTATTATGTCTCTCTGTCTCTGTCTCTGTCTCTGTCACTGTCTCTGTCTCTGTCTTTCACTATCTTCTTCTTCTTCAAAAAAAGAAAAAAAAATTACACTTTTTTCTACCAAATATTATATTCTTCATACTTTTTAACCATTTGTGCTTCGAACTCAATACTTTGTCATTATCGATGAATAATATCATTTTGTTTTTGACGATACTAAAGGATAATATAATAATAGAAATTATTTTTATAAATAAAATAAGTTAAAGACAGACAATTTTTATGGTATTCGTGCAGAATAGGACTCTCTTCATCGATTTCTATAATCTTGAAATATATTGTCAAGGTCAATATTCTGAGTAATTTTTTTTTTATGTATGATATAACTTGATTTTATAATTTTCGTGATATAAAGGAAAGTACGTCTTGTATTATCTGTATATTAATTACTGGTTTTTTAAATGATCTTTCTTTGTTTATTTATATGTATGTACTTTATTATTATGTATATTTGATTTAGATTAAATTTTAGTTTATTTTATTTGTACAATGTACAGTGTACAAATTATAGTATACAAGAATGTGTCAATAATTGACCACAATAGAGTATAGTTCACGCAACTTGCACATCTCCATAAGTTTCAAAGTATGCATTGCACGGAAAAGTTTTGTACATATACTAAAGTTGCATGGTTTGAAAAGATATATTATGCAGTGTAGTTATTTTTTTAAAGATGGAAGAGAAGAGTTCTTCTCGGAGATTTCAAGGTCAATCTTTATTTTTTTAAAGGGGAAAATATCTTGAGAATGTTATTCGATTTTGATGAATTTATTTTCAAGAATGATTCATTATATATTTTGGAAACTTGGCATATGGCTTATTGATACTTTTGACCATTTAAAAAAACGAAATTAATCTAAAAATCTCCGAAACTTTTCAACTTTTAAAAAAAATAAATACACTATATAATATATCACTTCAAACTATACAACTTTTGTATAGAAAACTTTTTTACCCAACGCATACTTGGAAAGCTATAGAAGTGTGCAATTTGAATGGGTTATATGGTAGGGGTTTTTTTAGTTGTACTGTTTTACTCTTACGTATTGGTATTTATGATTTTTTTTTCTATCACAGGATAGTATTAAACAAAAATTAAATTGAATAACAAAAATTGAAAACCTATAAATAAATAATAATATATAAGACTAATAACACAATACACGTACAAAAGAATATTATTACATTATGGAAAATTATAAATTTGCCTTTATATATTAAACTTTATTGAATAGTTTTAGATTTTGATTTGGTTAATAACTAAAAATACTTCTGTCATTACATGAATAAATATTATTAATGGATTTTACACCGTCTGTAAGTGAAAATAAATAAATATTTACATTAACACTGTACACTCAAAAGGGTCACCGGTCTAACTAGAAATATATAATTCGAGTAATTTTTAAAGCTTTTAGATTTTTTTGATATTATAATCGTTAATAATATGTAAAAATGAATACAGTGACTCCTTTTCCGATTCAGCTGAAAAATTTATAAATCATTAAGCCCGACCAAAAGTATATTCACGATTTATTTTTAATTTTTACAACCACTTTTTTGAGATATAAATGTTTTTAGAAATTTAAGATTTTATAACATCAATAAAAATTTAAAAATAAACAATTCGAAAACAAAAAAGTCACTGATTTGATGAAATTTTCCAAAAATTACAAACATTTAAAAAAAACAACCTCAAATTTCTACAAAAATTTATATCTAAACGAAAGGTAATCGTAAAAATTAAAAAAAAACAATAACATAAAATATTTATATTTATTAGCTGAATCTAAAGGGGTCATTTCAAAAAGTGACTGATTTAGTGTGGAATATCCCATATGCATATATACCACATATGCTTAAATATTATGCACGCATATTGTAATATGTCACATTTAATTACTCTAAATAAAGGAAAGGCGAATTAGTATTGTTAATATAAATCAATATAAATTCTAATAAATCTTATATTTACATTTATTGATTTATCGAAAATTATTTCAAGCTGGCTAAATTTAATTAAATTTTTAATGAATATTATACAGAAACAAACAGCATTTATACAGTATGAGAATAAAATAATCAGAATATTGACCTAGAGAACATATTTCAGGGTAATTGAAATCAGTTACGGATTCCTTATTCTACATGATTATCAATTTTTGTTCTATTTAATACTTATCTGTTATATCAAATGGGATAAATATATTTTATTTTATTTTTTCTTTTACTTAGTAATAAAAATATTTTAAATTTGGAAGTAATATTTTACTTTTTTCATTTTTCATTAACTTTTTTTTAATAAAAAGAAAATGTAAGATTATTGGATTAGAATAATCGTTTTCTTTTACAGGAAACCGAATAAATAGAGTTCTTTTTCCTTTCTTTTTATTTCTTCATAAGATTGAACAAATTTGGAAAATACCTCTTATAAATAAATGATTTGGCAGCAGAGTAAACATATTTGTTCGTCGTTACACAATGTTACACAAGAGTATGTAAAATAAAAATTAATTAAAATTATTTTAATTTAATAATAATTATGACCATTTTTCTTACTATAGATTCTCGGAATCGATAGTGAATTTTGCATCGTTGATTCGTTCATCACCGGTATCATCGATAATTGGCCGAATCTACGCCCACATCGAGGCAAATTTACCATCGCCATTTGCATTCTCATGTTTTGTTTAGGACTACCCATGGTGACAAATGTTAGTTATTTTTTAAAATATTCCAATATATTTTTTCGACATTATTGAATTGTGTGTGTGTGTGTGTGTTTGTGTTTGTGTTTGTGTGACATTTAATTATCAAATGTTTTTTTACTTTTTTCCAGGGAGGTGTTTATATTTTTCAATTAATGGATTTCTATTCGGCAAGTGGAATGTCGATTTTATGGGTATGCTTTTTCCAAACTATAGCAATATCATGGTTTTTCGGAGCACAAAAATTCTGCGATTGTGTCCATCAAATGATGGGAATACGATTGAATAAATTTTGGTACATTTGTTGGATCTTCTTTGCTCCTGTTATTATGGCAGTGAGTATAACAATGAAATAATAATACTAAAAATCTTACGATATGTCTAAAATATTTTTTATAAAATATTTATTAAATATATATATATATTTATCGTTAATATATTATGTTTGTTTACAGTTTATTTTCATATTTCAATGCGTCCTTTATAAACCATTGAAATATGGAAACGATTATGAATATCCAACATGGGCAGAAATCGTTGGTTTTTGTTTAAGTATCTCATCAATGATTTGGATACCACTTTATGCGATTTATTATGTCATTGTTACACCAGGATCGATTAAGGAGGTAAAATTAATTATACTATTTATTTTTCTCCATATGTTTTTTTTTCTTATTGATGTTAATCAATAATTGTTTTGTTTCTGTTTGTAGAACATTTTGAAGGGACTAAAACCCAACTTAAAGTCTAATCCGAAATTACCGAAGGGTGAAAAATCAACAGTAATGCCGATGTCGGAAAGCAGTGCTGGTTTAATAACAAAGAACAGTAGTTTTTTAAGTCAAACATGATTGAATTTAGGAATTTTCTTATAACTGTTTAAATCGAAAATAATATTTAAGAATGAAATTTATCTTCGAGAATTATTTATGCAAGTTTAGAAAAGTAACAGTTCAGCTAAAATATTTTGCTATTTTTTTTCTTTTTTTTTTCTTTTTTTTTTTTTTTTTTTTTTTATATATAAATTTACTTATCAACTATTTTTGTCGAATGTAATTTCGGTTATTTTAGTTTGTTTTAATAATGATTTTTTGAGAGAATTTTAGTAACATTGCAAAAAGAATGAAGGGCTGTGCGATTTATAAGACAGATTTGTTTACTTTGATTAATTTAATGTTCAATAGTAGATAAGTGTTGAAAGGAAAATATGTATAAAACAGTATTTCTGACCATGACAAAACAAGATGTTCGTTGAAATATCCATTTCTTCGAACTTAGAATTAGTATTTATGTAAAAAACGATGACAAACCTAAGTTATTTTAAATGTTTTCTATTCTACATACAAACTTTGTACTTTTTCTTTTCACATTACATTGTTATGACAATGAAAAATAATATTTCTAGTAATAATGTAATATTTACATAAAATAATATAATTGTTATGTACATCTAATACGATTTATTGATGTGCATTGCATTGTAAATCACAAGATTTTTATACCAATTTATAAAGAAATTAATGAAGATTAGTTTCAAGATTACAACCGTACGAATTGTCATAGGTCATAAATTATTATATAATTTTTATACGTTAAATTACACTTGCGAAACAATAGTTACAATGAATGTAATATTTTATTTTGATTATATTATCTTTAAATACAATCGCCGTTAATTATTTATATTAATTCCTTTTTTCATTCTTTTTATTTATAATATAATCCGAAAGAGTATTATTAGACCGGAGATTGTAATTGTAAAGAAATGGTAAACTTTTCTAAGCTCTTAGATGTACAGGACAAATATTATGATAAAAATCTATAATACTGTTGTGTACCTGCAAAAGAATTTCTTTAATAGCGATCATTTTTGTTAGAATTATCGAGTAATTATAAATTAAATATGATAACAATAAAATTCGATGAGAAAATATATAACTATACTTTTATAATTCTTATTTCATTCTTCCTTTTCACATATGTGCCAATAATTATGAAAGTGGTCTAGTGATTCTCTTGTTTCGAGATATTTAAAGAAAAAGATTTGAACACTACTTAAATAAATTTTGTATAATACAATATTGAAATAACAAACACTATCAAGCAGTTTATTTTTGAAAATATCCTGAAAATTATACTGAATTAATTTAGTATAAAATAATATGGTGTGAAATAACTAATAAACTCGTGTTTTTTCAATTTTGATTATACCATTTTCATAATTTTGAGCACATGTTTCCTCTATTATTTTATACAAATTTTTAACGACAATTTTCGAATGAAAGAAAATTATCAGGTGTATAAGATCATTTTTAATAGTAGATAAATCAATTTATCTTGATCTAATTATGCTCTGATACTATCGTTTAATATGTTGACATAAAAAGGGTAAGAGATATTTTTAAATTTAACGTATTAATACATTTTCATAGTAACTTTCATGATTAAAAAGCATGTATTTTCTTTTAACGTGTAAAGTAACGTATATTATGCATAAAATTCAATTATTTTTTAGAATTTTTATTTCTTCTCGATTATCTTTATTACCATTGAGATCAAACAATACAAATACTTTACGTGATACTTTTGATAACGATATTTCTCTTTAACGTAACGCGCATGCTTAAGTTCAATCACCTCTTTTCCTTTATCGTTAGAAAATTTTTTCTGGAAATAATCTGATATACACACACACACTCACTCACACACACACACACACACACACACACACACAAGCGTGTATACATTACATACACTACATGAGTTATACACATATAAATACACCCACGCGTATAAAACGTTCAGAGAGCATACATAAAATTCCACTCCCACAAACACACACACACACACACAAATATAGGTACAATAATATCCCATTGAGGCATACTTCAAAAGGTATTTTTTTTTGGTAGGAAAATACAAGTACTTCCTTGTTAGGAATCAATTAGCATAAAAATTCGAAGAAAGAGTCAAAAAACTGAACAGAAACATCATTTCCTTTTAACTAGGGATCGATCGAAAATTCACTAAATGTAGCACGCGCATAAACGATCAGTTTTGAAACTTCGTAATAATCCATATTTATGGTTTTCATATTCCATTTCTGACATAATTAACTATCATGTTGTCTAAACTATTTTTTTTAATGATTAAACTTCGACTTCATTTAACAGAAGAACTTTTATTTTAACGATTTAATAAAAGAATTTTGACAGAAGACAAACGAGTCAGTTTATTGTTTGATTTCGAAAAGAAAGTTGTATAGAACGTGTACTCCGTGATTTTAAATAACAATAGACATTCCTTTCGATTAATTAACAATTATTTGAATACTATAATGCACTCTACTTACATTACAGAAAAATTTTACCCTCGAGGTCGTCATTGTTCAGCAACGTTAATATGATTATATTAAAAATGAAAAATATACTAAAATCGGAACGTATTATAATCCTTGATTTTATTTATTAGGAATATTATTTTCGTTATACACATACGCAACTATCGGAAAGTCATATATACAGCATTTAATATTAGAGCTATTTGTTCTAGTTTTATTTTATTTAGAATACTATCGACGTGTGTTATAGAAACATAGTTTAATAAAATAACTAAAGAGAAATAGAGAGAGAGAGAGAGAGAGAGAGAGAGAGAGAGAGAGAGAGAGAGAGAGAGTATCTAAGTTAACATATGAACATATTAGATTCACCATCAGTGTACCCAGGTGTAATTTTGAAGATAATTTTAAAATAAATTGATTGAATCGATTTTTTGGACCCATATTTTTGTTTGTTTCATCACACCCCTCTGTTTTCGATCACACCATAACAAATACAATATTTTCATTTGACTTCTCAATGTAGATGAAATGAATCAAGGTTATTTGACAGGCGAAAGGAGGGTGAAAGATTTTTTTTTTCCACGAAATAATACTTGATTTAAGTAATAAATAAAAAAAAATGTTTATATCGATTATTTTATAATTTTTTTTTTCAATTTGCTATTAACAAAGAGCTACGAATTAATATAAAAAATTTTTATCTTGGAATTTTATAAGGAAAAAGAAGAGAAGTAATAAAAAAATAAAAAAAGAAAAAGAAAAATAAGGAAGGCAGATACGTGCTCGGGGTAAAACCTTTTCACCGAATTATCATATATCTTGAGAAAGGCGATTCATCATGGCATCGTTCACAATAAATTGCGAGAGAAGGGAAAAATAAAAGTCAGAGAATAGAAAAGGTAGGAAATGTCGAGTAAGGCGTCACGCAATGCGTGACATCGTCACGATATCTTTTTCCTTCCTCCTCTTTTCCTTTTTATTAAAGGTATATAGAAAAAGGTCGCGATAGTACCTGCGTCTGCTCCCTTCAAAATTTAAAAAGGCTTATAGATTCCTTAGACCTCCTTCTACCTTTTCTTCAAAGTCGAGCTCGATCAAAAATACCGTTCATAAAATATTCAACGCAACCCTTCTTGCTTTCTAATGAAGTTAATTAAACATCTCGTAGTCTGTGCAAATTTCTCGTTACAATTGAACCTAGAACGTTTTAACGTGCTCTTTTGCATTCTTTTCAAACTACCTAAAAATATTTATGAAATGTAACACTTTGGTGTTTTTGATCAAATAAGAAGATTTATCATTGACCAAAGTCATTTCATTTTTATGGAACTAGTTTTAAATGCGATATGAGAGAAAAAAAAAAGAGAATCAGAAATAGGATAAGTTGAAAAAAAGGATAAAAATAGATCTTATACATTTTATGATCCGTTATCAAATGACCGACTTGTTGAACACGATCTTAGTATTTTCGTGTTGAATACTCCGTGTAACACGAAATGAAAAGCTTAAGGAACCTTTGGCAAACAGGACGCTACTTGGGCGTATATGGTTCGAACCCGTTGTCATGACGACACCCTTCGACGCCTTTGGATGCCTCTGTTTCAAATAATATACCTAACGGTCGAAAGATTGCAGTTAAATCCTTCGTCCTTTGCCCTTCATTCCCTCCTTTCTTCGAGAAAGAAAGAAGATAGGAAAGAAAGAAAGGAAATAACTAAGAGAAACCTTAACGTTTATGGAACTTTGTACAAAATAAATTCATTCTTTTTAAATTGTTTTTTTTTTTTTTTAATATTTAATACTAATTCATTTATTATTATATTATATAATTGTTCCTTTATTTTTTAATTTATAAAAAACATTTTTTTTTTCATAGCATAAAAGTATGAATTATTTATTATTAAACGATGTTTGGGTTAAAAGTTTATTTTTTGAAAATATTAAAATAAATAATTTATTTTTTCAATTGATTATAATTCTTTTCTGTTTACTCAAGGTTATTCCTTTTTACTTTATTTTTCAAATTTTTATTCTAAGTCTCATAATATATAATGCTTTTTGTTTTTTGTTTTTTGTTTTTTTTTTTTTGAACAATTTTATATATTTTAAGTTTAATTTAATTTCATTAAATATTTTATATATTACTGTAAATGCATGATAAATATATTATATATATTTTTATCGACATTTGAGAGTAAATCATTGTCAATTTTTTGTGTACCATTTATTGAGTATTCTTACGATAAGCAATTATTTACAAACTTCGTGTTAGAGTTTTAGAAATTTAACGAAGATATCGAGGTTTTCTCAGGTCTGGTACAAGTTTAGAACTAAGCATTCCTCGGCTTTTTTCTAATAAATTTATATTTTAGTAGGACTGTAAAAAGTCGGTCGTGGAAAAAACCGAGGTAGGTAGGAGGCCAACAGAGAATGTATGGTTTTCTTATATACATATATACATACATACATACAACCACACCTTTCCCTAAAAGCGCCTACGACACCAGTACTGTACTTGCTTTGCCTAGGGCACTTGAAATATTTAATATTTTATACTTGAGTGTTTGATACTTTGAAATATCCCGACTGACTTTTGTAAGCTTAAAATAAACACTTTTGGAGAAATGTTTTCGAATTTAAAAATCAATCTATTTTTTTTTTCATGTAAAAATAAAATATTATCATAAATTTAAATACAAGCAAGGACTTAATTAAAATTTCAATTACAAATTTCTACATATCAAAGAAATCATTTGCGTAATAAATTATTAAGTGAAAATGTCTATAATTATTAGAATTATTTCTTTGTTTTGTTTTATTTTTTTTATTTTCGCTATGACATTATGACATAATTTATGTATTATATAATTTTCCGAGTAATTATCTAATTATTTT